TTCATTCGTTTTGAGGTTACTGGAAGGTTACAAGCCTGTTATCCGAGCGGTACCGCGGTAATGGCCCTCTCGGTTATAAATCCTGTACCTCTCAGTTATAACTCGGTTATAATCGAGCGGGCCGGGTCGACGAGTCGCGTCTGAATGAATGCGGTGGGACCGACTGTGTTGATTTGTCAATAGCCCGTTGGAGGACGCATGTATCGCTGCGTACGTCTTATGTACGCAAATTTTTTCCGAGCAGCAGAGGGGAAGACAAGTGTTTATGATTTTAATTTTGTTTTATTTTGTTAATTTTCATTAAATAAGTTATTAATATTTATTAAATAATTATTGTCATACTATAATATATATATATATATATATATATATATATATCATACTCATATTTACAAATATTATATAAAGAATAATACTCATTATTGTATAAAAATGAAACTTTAGATGTGAGAAAGGTAAATCCACAAGTATTGAGTGCTATTTATGTAATTTTTCGTAAATTTAAATGAATAAAGATTCATTTACATACATGCCGCCCAAAAACATTTTATTAATATATATGTTGAATCTCAAAGTATCTTTTAGGTCGCGCCAAAGGAATAGAGTGTTAGTCGGATAAGAGGAAATAGAAGAGACGAGAAAAATTAAACAAAAAAAACATTGATTCTCTTAGAATAGATCCAATAGTCTTTAAAATAGAAATGATCATTTTATTTATAGGTCATAGGAAGTGGTCTAGTAAATTATATAATTGTTCTTTATTTAATGAGAATGCTAAAATTATTTATGAGTTCATACATTGTATATATCTATAACCGAATTAGACATATTTTGATATTGCAACCGCCGCTGGCGTTGTTCCACATTTGTAACTAGCATGGGCACCATTTCGTATGTATAATTGCTTAACTTGGTCATATGGTATACTTTCGTTCTGCCAAAAAGACATTCGATCGATTGAACTATCTTTGGTCGTCTTTTTTTTTTTTAGGAATCTATTGTGAAGTCGTATTGTCTTCTGGAAGGATTATTTCATCAAGCAAATGACACATTACCGTAATCTGACGGGCTGCCTACCTTCAGTAGATAAATATATACAAGAAAAGTCATTGTTAGACGACTGTTGTACTTGCAAATATCATTTGTGTTAGTTAGAATGTTAACTTTATTGGTGCATGACGCTCTTTGATTAGGTCGAATTAACACTCGATCGACCCAGAATTCGGTCGACTAAAGTATTACTAAATTGCTCAGTCATTTGCGGCGCTCTTCATGTGGTTCATTTGATCTCCTCGAAATTCGGGAAACCATACTTCAGATGAACAATATCTAACATTTAAAATTTACTTTTTATATTTATCTTATTAAATCTTTCATATCATATTAAAATATCAATATTTTAATTTTTAAAAAGTGAAAAATAAGAGGGCGTATGCCGAAATTTAACTTTTTTATATTTATATTATTTAAAACTTTCATATATATATATATATATATATATTCTTATAGGGGCCTTTACATAGATACCACCTAATTCATATATATTTAGATATTTAACAACAATTTTTTTTTTTTTTACATTTATACAACCCAAACTGTCATATCACATCAAAATATCACTGATTTAAATTTTAAAAAGTGAAATACATAAGTAAAGTAGTTTGTCTATTAGTCTATTCTCATACAATGATATCTTTGTTTATAGGAGAGAGCATACAATGTAGTAATATTAAATTTATGTCCCTACTTTCAAGAAGATTGTACGAGATATTCTATATATTTTAAACATATGAGCATATTGTTTGGTTACCTTCTGACTCGATTGACTATGCTAGTATGACTTTAGCTCGGTGAGGCTGATTCAATCAACTGAGCTTGATTAACTTTGGGTCGGCATAATTAACTAGGTCGACAAAGCTTTACCGATCAGATGATCTAGTTTGGCTATCAACCTCAATCTAATAATGAGGGACTCATGTCAACCAAACACAAATAGACTATTGGGTAGCTGGTGAATCACTGTAATCAAATAGACAACTCATTCCCGACGAGTGGATCCTTTGGGATGATTATAAGCTTATATTCTATTATAAATTCTGGACCCCCTATGAGGAGCTTCCGGAGCATCCATGGGACAACTAGTAATGGCGAGGAACTGGAGTCTTTTCTAAAGTTCGATCTACCAAAGGTTAGATGGATGCCTTAACTCGGCTTTCTAGCAGTCTATATATATATATATATACATATAGTATTAAAATAGTACCAATTTTTACCATCCCTAAATTTTTCTGCTTCTCCTTACTTGATTCCCACATTTCCAGTGCACATTAGTAAGGTAGACTGTTGGTACTCATCTACAGCAGAGCTTCTCCTGCAGCTGTATATGAAATGCAGAAGAAGCTATTTCCTTCTATAAAAACTCCCGTCGCCATTGTTGATCTTAATTTTGAATCGTTCCGCGCTGCATTGGAGCTGCTCCCGGTCACTTCTTCTCGCATTCTACGTCCGTCAGTGTCGCCAATCACCTTCTCGGGGTCCGGAATCGCAACGTGCAAGCCTTATATTTTCCTGAATAGACGACGATTCTCCGCTGGCCAGGCGGAGTTTCCATCGGGAAGAGGCTTAGGTATTGGGAGAGCTGTTATTTCCAGATGCTTCCTCGTTTCGAAGAAGAAAGCGGATGCCCGGTTGGATGATTATTCTTCTTTACCCCAAATCCTGAAGCAATATGGAAACCTATGCCCGGAGATCACCCGTCGTTTCTGGCGTGTTTCCACGTTGAGTCCTGGAGATGTCCTGGAGCTGTTAAAATGTTTCGAACCAGGCAAGGATTCGATTTTTATAGTGGAATTTCTATGGGTGTTGTTCAGGTGGGCTCCCAGACAAAGCAAGAACTTTCATCATCTGCCTACTACGTATGAAATACTGATTTCAATGCTTATCCGATCTCAGATGTTTGCGGACGCTGAGTCTTTGGTTTTATCTTCGAATCCCCGTGGCATCCTTTCCAATCCCAGCGAGATATTTAGTAATATCATTCTAGGTTATGCTGAGAATTTCCTGTTGCAAAATGCTGTTGATTTGTATAATCAGGCAAGGAATCAAGGGTTGGAACTGTCATCTTCATGCTATCAAGCTCTGCTGAATCTATTAGTTGAAGAGAACAATTCTGAATTGGCAACAAGAGTCTGTATAGACATGATAGAATCTGGATTTGGGTTATGTGCTGAAGACAAGTTGCTTAATTTTGTTGTTAGATCTCTATGCAAGGATGGGAAGACACTTGACGCTGTAAAAGTCCTCAGAAAAGCAAGATCTGCCGGTGTTACAGCAAGCCCTTCCACACTTGATGCAGTTGTTGGAGGATACTGCTGTAAAATGGACTATGAAGATGCGTTGAACTTTATGAAAGAATGGGCACACATACCTTCTTCTTCTGTAGGTAACAAAGTAGTTTCATCTATCTGCAAAAAATTAGGTGATAATTATGCTTGGTTTTTTACTCGAGAGTTGAAGGATTTAGGCTTCCATCCAGATGATAGTACCTTTGGAATTCTGATTGTTCAAAGCTGCAAAGAAAGAAAGCTGAGAGATGCTTTCGTTTACTTATCTGAAAGTTTTTCTCATGGGATAAAATTGAATCTGCATGCTTACAATGCAATCATTGGTGGGGTTTTGAAGGAGGGAATGTGTCATGCCGCAAAAGATATTTTTGAGGAGATGGTTGAGAGAGAGATCTCCCCGGATCTATCGACTTTGAAAATCTTACTCGCTGGGTATTGCAAGTATAGAAAGTTTATCGAGATAAAGAACTTAGTGACTGGGATGGAAAACTCTGGCTACAGTGCTGGTTCAGCTCAGGGGGAGAATCCTCTTTCCAAGGCCTTTAAGATTCTTGGCATTGATTGCTTAGGAGTGAAGATTAAGAGGGATAATGATGCTAGAACTCCCAAAGCTGAATACTTTGATTCCCTTGGCAACGGGCTTTATTTAGAAACTGACAATTCTGAATATGAAAAGATTCTTGATAAGATTCTAGATGATGGAATGATTCCAGATCTTGATTCTTTATTGTGCAAGGAATGCCAACAAGGAAATCTAGATAGAGCACTTGTGGTGAAAAATGAGGTTCTTCAATGGGGGCATAATCTTTCTCCACCTACCTGCTCTCAGTTTTTGAAGGTCATGTGTAAATCCTCTTCTCATTTGAAAGAAGCTATCTGTTTTCTTGATGAGGATCCAGAATTATGGGATAAGCTCGACGGCGATACACTTAATCTGGTTGTACAATATTTAAGCAAGAATGGCATGACAACTAGTGCAAAGTCAGTTCTGGATAGGTTGCTGAAAAGAGAGTTACTGGTTGATAGTGCTACATACAATGCTGCAATTTTGGGTTTCTTAAAAGAGAAGAATGTTAGACAAATTCATAAATGTTGGGAATTATTAGAGGGATTGGCCTACTTACCATCTTCCGAGGACATCAATAGGCTTGTGAGCTGTCTATGCAAGTCAGGAATGGTAGAAGAAATGCTCATGTTTTTCGATAGTATGACTGAGAAATATAGTGATTTGTTGCCATCAGTTGTCACTGCAATTTTAAAAGAGCTCACTTCTGGAGGTCTTTTGAGCATTGGGACTGTGTTTCTTGAGGAGGTTTTTAAGAAGATTCCAGTTTTGGATCCTTCATTCCTTTTAAATCTGACAGAAACTGCTGCATGCCAAAATTCATATCAATGCTTAATGCATTTTTTGGTGAGTTCAGGCAGAATTAAAGAAACTCTACTTTTGAAGCAACAAGTTCTGAGCAGAAGGGGAAGTCACACTAACTTTGTTTATAGCTTATTGTTGAATGAACTTTGCATGAAGGGAAAGCTGACGGAAGCAGCTTCTCAGTTGCAAGAAATGCTAGCAAATAGAGTGTTTCCTGATGATAAAATTTTGAATGGCTTTGTTCATGGGTTTTGCAGACAGAATGATCTGAAGAAGGCACTTGAGATTCTGGCTATCATGTTAAGAACTCATGCTAGCCTTTCAATTTCTAGTTATCGCTGCCTGGTTCGCCAATTGTGTGCTCATAGACTATTAAATGGTACATTCAATCTCCAAAAACTATTTGTTCAAGATGGCTCGAAGTCATTCATTTTTCAAAACATTCTGATTTTTTCTTTGTTTCAGACAAAAAATTATCTGCTTGTTGATGCTTTGTTAGACAAAATGCAACAGAAACATTTGCTTGGAGATACTGACACTTGTAATTTCCTTATTTATGGATACTATAAGTTTGGATTTGTTGCCAAAGCAATTGAAGTCTTTTATGATATGATCGGCCATGGAATCAGACCGAATAATCGTAGTTTTAGAACCATAATTTGTTATCTTTGCAGGCATGGGGAGCTTAACAAAGCACTAGAACTGACTAATATAATGGTAAACCATGGCAGAAAGATTGGTTCTTGTGTTCAAAATTCCGTAGTCATCAGCCTCATTTCTTCTGGCCAGCTTTCTGAAGCACTAATACTTTTGGACCGACTGGAGGAACAGGGATTGATCCCTGAAAATGTCTACTATGACCTTATAATTAAAGAATTTAGTGTTCAAGGGAACCTAGAGAAGGCAGTTCATCTGTTGAATTTAATGTTGAAGAAGGGCAGCCTTCCAAGTCAAACCAGCTACATTTCAGTAATCCATGGGTTCTGTAGCCACAAAGCTTTTGACGATGCACTTGGTTTTTATGAGGAAATGCTTCACAAGGGCCTTGTGCCAAGTGAGGCTTCCAGTAATACTCTAATATGTAGCTTGACTGAGTGTAGCAGAACGGATGATGCTAGAAGAATTTTAAGTTTAATGCGGCAATTTGGTTTAGTTCCAGCTTGCAGCATGTATAATTGTGTAATAAGAAGTTATTATGCTGAAAACAATATGGAGAAGGCTTCAGAAGTTCTGCAGGAAATGCAGAAAGTAGGATATTCCCCTATTTTTGAGACTCATTGGTCTCTTATAAGCACCTTAAGTGGTACAGCACTAAAGAAGAATAACAACAAGGGTTTTCTGTCCAGTCTGCTGTCCGGGGATGACCTTCTAGTGAAGAAAAGGAAGGGCAGAGGTGTTTCTGCCATTTAAACAGTTCTGGACCAGAGGTTTTGAAGTTTGGAATCTCGCAGTGGTGTTTTTCAAGATGAAGTTCGTAGGGATATAATGTTTCATTGGTCTCTTATAAGCACCTTAAGAAGTATAGATGTCGCTGATGGTCTCTCAAGTGCATCCCATGCCAAAGCAGACATTCATGGCAAAGAGAAAGAAGACAAAATATTCGAGAAAGGGGGCGTTCTGGCGAAGCAGGAGAAGGGAGAGTATTGGAGAAGGCTGCTAAAAAGGAAGAATAACAGAAGTTGCCTCTATGTTGTGCTCTAGCACACATATGGGAATAGAAGAAAGAAGTTCTTGGATAGGAAGACCAGTGGGAAGCATATTTGCCACATTAATCTTAGCAAAAAAGGTTTATCTTTCTTCTTTATTTTCATCAAAGTGATATCTTTATTCATATAAAAAACCACTTCCTTTATCTTTTTTGAATCTTAATAAAAACTTATTCAATCTCTATAATGCCAGGTACATAAATTTTTTGAATTTGAACTTCATGAACTTTGATGCATTTTTCAGTGTTTCATATCACTTGTAGTTAGTTTATGAGCATCATATTAACTCTTATGATTGATTTTTATGTAATTTAAGTTTAATGAGCTCCTTGCAGCACTAAATGTAACCTTAATAAATTATTTCTAATGCTGTCATTTCAGCATCATTGTTCAGCCGAAGCAGCAGTTGCTGACGGCCCTTTGAACCCTCCTGCTGCTGATATTGTTGCAGAAGCATCAGCAGCAGATGAAACAGCTGACATGATAAGGTTTTCTAAGATGCAGAGATGAACAGAGTCACAGCTTAGAGTTTTTTTTGGAAGCCCGAAGAAGTCAACGTGGCGACAATTTTGCTAGGATGAAGAGAATTTTTTAATTATTCTGTATAAATCAAAAGATTCATTTTTTTTTTTCTTTTTTTAAATTATGTAAATCAACAGCAAAAAATTGTCTTTCAACACGAGGAATTTTGTCGTCAACCAGTTTTTTCAATTCTGATCATAACCAACAATACCTAAACAATATAGCGCTGTTACAACATAGCTAACGGCAAGTTGCAGCGATGACTAATCACTTGATTTGCGCTAAAAGAGTAAAACTGAGATATAGTTGGCATATGAAATTGCTATTTAGTCTATAAACTTAACATAATCTCTAAATCTAAAATTTCAAGACTTCAATATATGACAGTTGTAAATTTATGAATATGCACAAAACATAATGCATTAAAAGCTTTAGTGATCAATCAGGTCGGACTGCCATGCACCTTAATTTGCTCAACATATGGGTTGCTGCTGATTCACGAGCTTCGTCAGGGCTGCTCTTCAACTCACCTTTGCAGTCACATTCGAAGTCCATTCCTCGCACCGCCACAGCAGCTTGGAATTTTCCTGTGTTTTATTATAGTTCAGAGAAATGGCTAAGATAGCTTTATGATAATAATTGTGTAAAGCAGCCTCCAGCTTGATTCAGTCTGGGGATCAAAATACGATCAGAACTAGTATAAGTAGATTTTATTTTAATGCTTCTACTAAGAAAAAAAAAAAAAAAGCCTAAATATGGCCCGCGTTACAACAAAATGTAATGAGCTGGATTATTGTACCTAAAAAAAATGTCAGCGTTTATGTCAAAGAAATCCAACGGTCTGGAAGGAAAAAGTATAGCGACGGTTGGCCCATTGCCAGATAATCATTACACACACTCGACCGATCGAGTAAAGGCATACGAGCCAAGCTAGCAAAGCCAAAATTAGTCGAGCCGCGAGGCAGACAAGAAGACTAGCGAATGAACCATTTGCAGAAATAAGAACAAAAAAGCATCCAAGTCAACCACTACAAGAAAATCGACCCAATGCTATAGCCTACCCCCCAATAGAGTTGATCCAACCGAAGATCTAGTTCCACAATATCTCCAACCATCCCATGGACAACCCAGAAGGTCCTCGTCAGTTATCAATGATTGACAACTAGGCTATTTCAGCTGGCCGACACATACTGCGACTGAGCTAATCTTGTTGACCCGAAGTCAACTGAACCTAATCGGTCAAGCCAAGTAGTTGGACGACAAAACTATACATGTAAAATACCAAAAATTCTCTATTACGGACCCTTTTAAAATAAGGGCAAAAATACAATATCATCATTCTACCCTCTGCTCCATAAATAGTGAAATCATTTTATGAATAAGAAAGAACATATTAATGTTCATTCTCCCTCTCTTTTTTTTTCTCTCTCCTTATTTACATTATTTATTAAGTGCAATTCACAGGTAAATCAAGACTCAACATCTTAAAGGGTGCAGTGAGCGTAGATCATGTCACAAAAAAGAGTAGTAATAGAAAAAAAAACCCATAATAGAGACACTGACGATATATAGTTCTCGTGGCCAGCAGAACCAGGAGTTGAAAGATCAGATATTGAATGCCATATGAGGCACGCTAACCTAAGGAAGAGATTAGTATCCCCTAGACGTCGGACGCCCAACGAAATAAGATTTCTCCCAGTTTGGGAAGAAGAAGGCAACATCCAATACTTCGATGGCGTTGGGTTGAAATCAATTCAAGGGTACAAAGGAACCCCGTCAACCCGAGAATGCGTTCTTAAGGCAAATATATGATGTTGAACCCCCAAAGCGATTCAAGATCCCAGCACTGGAGTCCTGCAAGGGGCGAAAAAATTCAGTCGCCCATAGCCTGGTTTAAGTCGAACATGTGTCTGCTAATGATTACGGACACGCTGAAATGTCATCTCTTCTTTAGCATGTTGAGTGAGTCAACCATTAGGTAGTTCAATAGATTATTGCCGAGAGCAATCACATCATTCACTGACTTCAAAGCAAACACCCAATAGCCTCAGAAAAACTCATATGCTCTTCTACTGTTCCATTAGGGACAGAGCAAGATTTTGTGCTCATTCATCACTCGTTTCTAGAAGAAAATGTTGTAAGTGTCAAACCTGGAACCCGTGGCAGCCCATGTCACCCTAGCTTAAGGGTTAGAGGAAAGACCTTCCGATACGCGCTAGAACTAATGCGGCCAAAGACACTAGTTGATTTGTTGGAATTAATCAACAATCACATATCGGCCGAGGATATAACTCCAACCAGCCTCCTCTAGAGTAGAATCCTCCTCTGGTCACCCGCAAAAAAAGGCCGCCACCCAAGATGAAGGATGGAGATCGAGACACGATTCACGACCTACTGCTCGTCCTTGTTACGAAGATGCTCAACCTCCCTAAGATAATATGACAATCAACAGACACATCACTGAGGTAGTCAAGCCCTGTATCCTGACCAGCACTCGACTCGATCTATCGAGCGCCCACTACGTAACCACGAAACGCTCAAACCAATTAAGTTGAGAGTTTCAATGCTCGATATAATAAAAGTCATCAAAATAAATATTATTTTAAGAGAGTGTCGTTAATCAAGACCAAAGTTTATCTTTGAAACCCCAAGAAGTATCGTGCCTATCATCGTAACCACGGTCACGATACGGGGGACCGCGAACACCTCCAATGTTTAGTCAAAGAGTTAATAAAATCAGGAAAATTAAATGAATTTGTGGCAACAAGAGCAACGACCCAGCGTTAGGGGAAGGTTCCACCTAAAAAAATATTGAACGAACCAGTCTGAGCCCACGAAATTCATTTCGCTAGCATAATTCCCACCATCTTTGGAGGAGATGGAGGCCCATTCCGTCGAGCTAATCTAAAGAGACTTCGATCGAGAGAGATAAGCATGACCACCCTCACGCACAAACGTTGCTCACATTATCTCATAGTCTTCACCAGTGAAGGCCTAACCTAAGAGTAATCCCTATAACACTGCTATTGTCATGAGCACGCTTATTGGTAACTACCAGACCAATAGCACATCCATCAATACCGGACGCTCCGTCAACATCATGTTCAAGTAGGTGTTCGACTAGATGGGCCTCAAGAGCGAGCGAATGATAGTTGTGGCATGATCATTTTATAATTTTTCTAGCGAAAGAAAGGAGGCGTTGGGAACCATAGCTTTATCAGTTACCTGGAGAGACAGACAAACAATTTACTAACATGACAAACTTCATAGCGGTCAATGTTATCTTCGATTGTCCCCTGTTCAATTCTTACAAGGTTGTCACTTCTACCTACCACGTAGCTGTAAAGTGCTTGAGAGATAGAGAGGTGATCACTATCTGCGGCTTGCACCTTTAATCTCTGAGCGATCAGAAGGATCCTGCAGGAACCCCTCGAGCTTGATGATTTGTCAGAAGGATGTACGAGACCAACAAGACTACCCATAAGATCCCAGCGACCGAAGGCCACACTGGTAAGTTTTTCCTATTAATTGAAGCTTTTGATGTAGGTCAGAGGGATGCACTGATCGACACCCTCCGGGGCCACTGAGATGTTTGTCTCATATGCTGACGAGATGCTCGGAATACCGATCGACATAGTCTGCCACCACCTAAACCTCAACCTAGTGGCCCGACCAATAAAGCAGAAGATGAGCACAATAGTTGTCACCCTAGTAGAGCCAATCCTGGAGGAAGTTCAAAAGTTGTTAGAGGTCGGCTACATCCGAGAAGTCCAGTACCCAGCGTAGGTCTCAAATGTTGACATAGTGCCGAAATCAAACGGTTGGTGAAGAATGTGTGTCGACTTCACCAATATGAACACTGTTTGCCCGAAGAACAGCTACCTCTTGTCGCGAATAGACACGCTGGTGGATGCAACAGTCGATCATTCTATGATGGGCTTCTTCAATGCCTTCTTAAACTACCATCAAGTCAAAATACATTCAGTCGATGCTGAAAAATAATGCATTCATCACATGTGATGGAGTGCATTGTTATATTGTAATATTTTTTTGGACTAAAAAATGTTAACGCTCCCTATAAACACATGATGGATGCAATTTTTACTACACAGAAAGGAAAAAAATGTTGAAGTGTATGTGGATGATATCTTAGTAAAAAGTAAAACGCCCAAGTAACATATGAAAAATCTAAAAGAGGCCTTCAAAACTTTAAGAAAATTTAATATAAAGCTCAATCCTCTTGAGTGTATATTCATAGCATCCATAGGTAAATTATTAAGTTGTCTTCTAAACCCAAAGAGAATAAAGGCTAACCTGGAAAAAATTTTAGTGTCAATCAACTTGTCGTCCCCCCGAAACAGTAAGGAGGTCCAAAAGTTGATCTGTCGAATTACAAGTCTAAGTCGATTTATCTAAAAATCGATCGATAAATGTGTTGCTTTCTTCAAAATTAATTTGAATTAGTATATATAATTAGATGTATTAAGTGTTTAATTATAATTCAATGTTAGAAAGTATTGGCAGGAGAATAAAAGTAGAATTAAATCGATTAGTAAGGGAGAGGAGCCTAGTGTGCAAGGAAACAAACTTAGTCTTTGAGGTAAGAGAGAGTTTGTTTAATTTAGATTTCTTTGGTAAAATTGAAATTATATTTAAGTATTAAATTGGAGTTATATTAATTAATGTCAGGAGGTAAGGTGGAGGAATAAGCTTTTGAAGAGGTATTTGAAAAGTTAAGGTGAGTGAGTACGCTTTTAAATAACAGTAATATTTTATGTTTTTAAATATATTCCTGCTTACACTTATTCACTGTTATGTTAAATATCAACAAAATTAAATCAAATATGATTCTTCGTATTATTAATTATAAAATATGTATGTTAAGTATTGCGTCTTAATAGTTGCATAATAATTTATTTTAGAAAGATATCAGAATATTTCATGACCCTTATATTCTAATAGAGATGTACATGTTAACTTATTATATGACCGGCCATATATATCGCATGATTACTTGACCTTTAGGGTTTTAGTAAATGTGCATTTTATTGGTATATAAACATAGGCTATCTCATAAAATGTATCATAAGAATGCATGATGTGAAGAATGAAGTTGTGTATGTATGAATGTTTTTGTGTGAGTGCTAAGAAGAGTTCACTCCCTTATGGTACATACAGGGGGCACAAGTGTACTCACATGTAGATGTTATTCCACCATCCCAAACAATTGTGATGTTTAAATCGATAACCACTGTGCCGACGGGAGAATATCGACCAGGGGTAAGTAGACTTATTTTTATCTCAGATAATTGTGTAAATTAGATCACGAATCGTTGTGCCGATAGAAGAATATCGGTGAAGGGTATGTTATGCTATGTTTTGACGATGCTTCGAAAATTAATGTGATGGTTAAATGTATGAAATAAACTAAGTTAATAGTTAAACATTGAAGAGTATAATTAAAGTTAATGCTTATCAAAATATAAATTATTCTAATAAGTAAGTGTCATGGACACATACATTAAATTATTATAAAAATTTTTATAGAAATATTCAAGATCAGCACGTACATTGCTTTTTTTTTTTTCATTGGATTATTTTATTTTAGAAAGGGGATTGGTCCTGGGTTATCTTTAGATAACTCATTATGATGTTTTAATATATTTTTTTTTAAGTTTTAAGCTTTTGAATAAGATGAATAGAAGAGAAATCAAAGAGTACAAAAGACAAGATCACCAACCTAAAAGGTAACTTTTTATTTGGTCAATTTAATTGTGTTCTTGAGTGGTTCATTCAATTAATAGTTAGATATTAAGTTCTTGTGATAGAAATAGAATAAGAGAAAATTTAAGTCCAACGTCCGACCGTCGGTTCCCATCTTCGTTAATTTCAAGCCTTGGAGTAAAAAATAACTGAATGACAAATTTATGCATGTAAAATACCAAAAATACCTACTATGGATCCCTTTAAAGCAAGGGAAAAAATGCAATATCATCATTGTACCCCTTTTTCTATAAATAGAGAAATTAATTTGTGAATAAGACATACTGATTGTTGCTAATTCTCTCTATTTTTGTCTCTCCTCTCTATCTCTTTTTATTTATACTCTATTTCATGGGTGTGATTTACAAATAAATTAGGATTCAACAATTATAGATTGCATTTAAGAAAAACAAATGGCATAAATGAGTTTACCGTCATGTGAAGGAAGTACGCAATATTTTGGCAATATCCAGTTATTCTTGCAAAAAATCTCATCAAGCTCCTGTAGAATAATGAGAACAGTTCAATAACTCGGTTATTCGTTGATGTTTGCTTAATGACACTTGAAATCAAAGAAAGAAAATCATGATGAGCAATAGCAAATAAGAGAGGCGGCTTCTCATTAAATTACAATTTGCTACAAGCCTGCTTTTAATGGCCACATCATACAAATCTTTGACGCTTAAATGTGGGATTATAAATGACGTATGTATCCATGTGAGAACAGACTTTTTGCTTATATATATATATATAATCTTTTTGGTGCGGAGTTGTAACGTATATAAATGAATCCCTAGGTTTTTTATTTTGTTTTTAGACGGGGATCCTTATTCCCTCCCTATTTTTGTGCTTTTAATTTATATTAAAACGTAGGGAGCCACGAGTTGCTCATTCCCCTAACATAGAT